AAGCAAAAATCACTAAGTTTTTTTTTTAAACTTTTTTTTTTGTTTTTGGTTGAGTCTCTTTTTTTTGGTTGAGTCTCTTTTTTTTTGGTTGAAACTTTTTTTTTTGGTTGAGTCGCTTTTTTTTTGGTTGAAACTTTTTCTAAGTTTTTGGTTGAATTCGTTTTCTTGCTTATACAACTTTATTTGCTTCGGGGAAGCTTACATGAACATTCTGGGCGGGTCTTAAGGACGAGCGATGTAAGACGTCTCCCTATTGGTTAACGCTGGCTGAAGCGACAGACTCTGAGCTTTTCCTTCCCAGAACTTCTTCGCCATTTCCTTTCCGCTGTAGCAGAAAGTAAATTGTAAGTAATCTTCACAATATTACATTGATTAATAGCTACTAAGTGTCCATGCTTTATTCAGAGAATAACGTCTCATGCAGCTTATGAGGACAGTTGCTATATCTTGTGTGCCGCGCTTCCGGTTTAGTATATAAGGCTAGCTAATGTTAACCGGTACGGTACGCGATTTGTTCCATATTTCTATAAATCCCATATAGACATGACTATCACAAACAGATCTAAACTAATTATAGCAATATTGAAAAAAAAAAGAGAAAGAAACACAGGAAATGTTACGGGCAGCTAAGTTGCTGTGGCGGGAGCTAAAGGACCCCCCTTACGCAGCCGCCACGGTTGCCTAGAGACCGACATAACGCAGCTGTGTAGAAATAAAAAAACAAAAAATACCAAATTTAAAAATACCAATTTTTTCTGGACTAAGTTTGTGCTAAATAAATGTTATATAATCTCTCCGTGTCAATATGCGTGCATATATGAACCTGTAAAGTGGCTGTGAAGCTAAAGTGTGAAAATACACCGGTCCGCTGCACCATAAGTGTGTCATTGGGTCCACAGTAACCTATATCACACACGTCAAGTAGCTGTACAGTGATTATTTACCAATGCTGCAGGTGTAGGGAGATAATGTAACTCATATTTTTTTTTCCAGATCAACATAGACAATTACATGGACAGATCGGGAGCCGAGGTAGGGTGTTCACATAATCTGTCTTCCTTTAGTATGGCATTAGAGTTAAAGTGTCTTATATCCTAATTGTATGTTCTAAACATTTGTATTGTTATGTTATGAAATTAGACCCTTGTTCTCCTAATTCCCTACTCTTGTATGACCAGCAGAGTGCAGCTGAAGTTGGACGGCACTTGTTGGCTATGTTAAATAGAGCAATTCCTCCGGCTAACTTAGAAAACACAACAATGGAGAGACCACCAACTGTTACTTCAGAAATGGCAAGGTATAAAATTAATTCTTTCTTTTAAGGTTCAGGTGTTTGTAGTTCACTATATTTTTGTAAGTTAGTTTCTTTAGCAGGTAGATTATAGATTATATATTTATATATAATAATATCTATTTTATGTACAGTAAAGTCACATCCATACTTTATGCCTTCATCTGATTAGCAAATATGAAGGCCTACATTGCTTACATAACTTACATGACTTTATGCAAGCAAGTTATGTATCCAATGATGCTGGTCAGAGATACAGAAAGAAATTACGTCAGCAATTCCATTGGGGCTCAAGAAAAGGGAATATGTAGTACAGATTCATAAGTGCTGTACTACAATAATCTTTTGTAGCAGGCAGTAATAAGACAAGTATCATATTAAATATATTTGGAGGATCCTCGGTATTGTCAGCTCAGTCTGAATTCTTTTAGGAATTGCATCGTTTTCAATAGCTGTTCCCTATTTCTGTTTCACGGCATTTTCTTTTTTTTTGTCCTTTAATTTTGGTTCATTGGTATAGCGCCTGTCTTTTGTGAGATTTGTGCTATGTAATGTTTATCTTAATTTATAATATCTGTATTTCTTACAGGAAACATGTATTCACGTATGTAATTATTAACGCATTGACTTCATACATTGTTTTTACATTGGGTAACTTTTAATTTTGATCTCTTACTTGAAAAACTACAGATCATTCCCTGGAATTTTTAACAGAGGTGGAAAAAGGAGAAATGCTTTGAAGACACAAAACTGTGCTGCGAAATTTGTTAAAGCTTTAAAGCCACTGGAAGTGCAATTTTTTTTGCTTGCTTCAAAAATTGACATCATCCCTACCTCCTCTGAAGAGATTGCACATTTGCAGGCTGGACTTGGGAAAAGGACTTTGTCCATCCAATCTGACCTCACACATAGAGAGGTAATCAAAATTTAATCACCTATGTTTTCCTTTCAATTTGTCACTTGTAGTGTTGACATAATTCAGTTAAAAATTGTAATGTTTCTGGCCCGTCTGCCTGCCATGTTCTTCTCCTTTGCACTCACCTCATCAAGCTCATCTGGTTCACCTGCATGCTGCTGCGCTGGAGCGCAATCAGGCTCATGTCTCCCACCTGGTCACCAGCAGTTATATTCAGCTCTCAGGAGGGCAGACTGTGCCAGATTTTTGAAAGCCACCGTGTGAGTAAATATCCAGCGTTCCTTCCTGACCTGACCACGATCTGAACACTTTTCTGCCCCTCGGATTTCCCTGCCTTGCCTAGCCCTCATTGGATTCTCCTCTGGCCTCTGTTTGCTGGACGTGACCCTGTTTCTGCCTTCCGACTACTGCCTCTTGCCTCGCCCTTGGATTTAGTCTGCCTGTGATCGTTTGCAAGTTTGGAACCTTTTTCTGTGCCCTGACCATCGTTTTCTGCCTGACCCTCTGAAAGGTACTCCATTGGTTGCCTGTCCTATACCCCTATCCCTAATTAAAGTACTTATTAACTTTTTCTGTGTGTCTGACTGAAATTTTGGGTCCTCAAGTTCTGATCCTTACAAAAATACTTTACCTTCCATTGTTTTTAGTAAACTTCTTTGCACGTATTTGACATTCAACGGTACTTGCTTTTCAACAGGTACTATTTGTTAACATGTACATATAAACAACAGTATAATCACTAAAACACTGTTATTCCTTTTTTTAAATAGCTGTCATCTTTATTTAATACCACATACCCTAAGATGCAGGACCTACAGGACACATGGTTATTATATAAAGCTTCAGGTGTGCCTCTAGTCATGTCTACATAATTCAGAGTTTGTTTATTCTTCTTGTATGATATTTGTGAAATTAAAAACTTATTTTCCTGTTTTAAAAGGTGGGAATGGAAGGAGAAAACTGCTTCCTGTCCTGTTAGATGCAGAGGGATACACAGGATCTCTCATCAAAAGAGCTTCAATTGGGGGCAAACATATGCTGTACATAATGCCCCTCCAAGATGATTTGGATTTAACACCGTTGCCTGCTGATTCACCTGAATTTGCTCTTATGCCAAAAGCAGCTTGTAAGAAATGCAATGCTTCAATGCCACTGCAAATGCTGACTTTGCACATTGAACAATGCAGTGAATTATCAAGCTCTGATAGTGAGGTGAATAGTTTGTGTCAAGTACCAATGTTGCAAATGACACAATTTCAGATGGAAATTAGTTGAATTTCTGTTTACAGAATGCAGATGTGATGTACATAGAGAACACTGAATCAAGTTCAGCCTCTACTAGCACAGTAGCATGCTCAGAATCAGCAGGGCCCACTGATCAGCATCATTCTCAGCAGGTACATGGTTTACATAGCTTGGAATTGGAAATATTCATTATTTTCTAAACAATTACGCCCCATGTATTTCACCTATATCTTTAGTCTGTGTAAGCCAGCGACACATTACAATGCAACTTCTAAAACCTATACTTATCTGTCAGATTTCTAAAATATTGTTGTCTTGATGTTGTGTGCATTCTTACACAATTTCGTTTCATGTAATTTATGTTAATTTTTTAATTAATGGTTTCTTAACATTGAATATATATTTTTTATCCCACTTTCCTTTGTAGACAGATGAAATTAAATGTCCATTATGCAACAAACTGTTTCCCTTGTTAGACATTGAAGTACATGCCAGCTGCTGTGGAGAAAGGTAAGTGTTAAGCATCTGCATACGTTTATATACTGATGTGTTTTGTATTCCTTCATGTTTTGTGCAACTGTTTTCATGTGCTTCTTAGGAAAAAAATGTATGTTCTTCCAAAGCATTTTTGGGTCACTATATATAGCAAATAAGAAAGTCTGAATGTAATTAATACTTGCTTCTTTGAATTTTCATAGGATGTACCAGTATGAAAATGTCCATGAGGGAGATGAGACTAATCTGCATCACATTTCATGGTGGTCAATCTGTTTGTTTGTTTTTGGCACTTTAATAGGGAATTAATAGTTTTTAATAATACCATGTAATTTAAATATCTATACAGTGAAGATGATGTCGTTAAATGGGCAGCAACACAAGTGGACCCCAGCAAAACATTTGACATATGTGTTTCAAGAGACAGTGTTGTGGAAGGAGGACTGATACTTTGGCAGCGCCAAAAAAATGGTGGCCCTGTGAACCCTTTGAAAGTCTCCTTTCTTGGAGAAATAGGTGTAGACACAGGAGCTCTGAGGAAGGAGTTTCTTACCAGTAAGCCTGTCTTTTTATGTTATTATATACTGTGTACAGTAATATGAACTGAATGTGGACAAGTTATGACGTCAGGAATTGAAGCAATGTGCTCTAATGTGTTTACTTTTTTTTATAGGGCTTAAAAGGCAGTGTTTCATTTATCTTTTGATAATTGGAATTAATCTGAAGGTTTTAGGCCATGTTTTACTTATAATGTGTTTTATTCTGTGTTCATTTAATTTTGTTCCATAGTTAAGGTTGCAGGGATTGAGAGGAGGCTTTTTGAAG